CTCCGATGCATGTATATAGACAGTACATTTTTGGGTGAACTATCCCTTTAACTCTGGGTGAATTTTCACACATTGGAGGATTTGACAAAGAGACCTAATACAGGACAACAGATCGAGAGCGTTTTGTTAACTGGTCCATTACCATCTGAGTCTAACCATGTCATGTCAACAAATGGAAAAGTCAGCCATCTATTAATTAATTATCATGTTAATTACTGCGCGCCTTTAGCCCCAACAGCAGGGGCGCTTTTTACCCCAAATACCATACTTTTACATATCCTTTCGTTATTTAAAAACTGTTGCTTTAATTATCTTAAACAAAACTGAAAATCATAAAGAAGACCTTTGTCTCAAAATATATGCATTAATTTTAGCGATTCTCATTTGCTACTTAAATCTACAACATTTTTAAAAACATAAAATATTAGATCAAATAAGCACAGAATTAACTTTGCGCTGCTGAGCACGATCGCGTCAAGGATCAGACAAATATATACGTGCATCTTGAAACGCAAATGTTTTGGAAAGTGCTACGCCACGTTTTTGTGCCATCTAGTGGTTTAGATGAATAATATCAAAGGCGTATTTTACCTCGGGGCGCCTTTAGCCCCGTTGTACCCTACTTTAGTAAAAACTTGCAAGGATATGATAATGTAGGTTTATTCAGAAGTAGGCCATTGATTTTTCTCACTATTAAAATCTTAACACCTCATAGGGAAAGACAGCTCATTTTCTTTGAGAAATGTAGTTAAGCAACATTGTGTGCCAAACACTATACAGGCTGTATTACACGACCAGTTTCTCAGTACACCTAACTTTACTCCTGACTTTAGTCTTCTGCTCAGAGCAGTGGGCTTGTTTGCCATCCACAAATATTGCAATATCCTGACACCATGTGATGAAGATTGGTACTGGCTCTTTTCATGTAATTTATATTTTAGCTAAAGTGAGTTATGACGACCAATATTTGCATATTTATCTATAAAATCTTTTTTTAAAATATAACAATTTATACTTACAATCAATATTTGTATTTTAAAACTGTCTATACATTTGTTATTTAAAATATAAATAACATTATATACACATGTAAGATATACTAAATATACAGCTCTTTCTTATTAGTAAAAACGTATTTTAACCATACTTTTATTTATGACGTTTTTTAAAGAGGAGGACATAAAACTAAATGTCTACGAATTTGTTTATGTTTGTCAGCCTCCTGTAAGCAGATGGAAACGCTAGAATACTTGCATAAGCAGCAAAGAATAAGCTTTAAACCTTTTAAATCTACAAGCATAGGAGATGGAGAGGCCTTAAATGAATGAACTGATTATAATCAACGCTGTAAGGCTACGTCATGAAGTTTGGTCAAGACGGCGGATGGATATGATGTTGTGTTGGCAGTCCGCTCTAGTTCCTGCTCTGCTTCATGATTTCTCAGCGTTGAGAAACGCGCCACTGTTACAGAGTTTATTTATTGAATTTTACTATAATGGGCTACACAGCGCAGCTAATGGGAGCAGTTCGTTGCAAAAAAGACTCTCCTTCAATTAATAACACGTTATGGCTTCACTTGAAAACTCAAGCGCAGTTAGGTGAAAATACGGGAGTATGCAGAGATTGTCAAAATACGGTTGACTTGCCTCCTATATATATATTAGTTACTGCTACATAAAATATTTTGCTTCCAAGAGTCAAAATCTGTTAACAGGATGAGAACTATTTCTTCAGGAAATCTCTTTAGGCGGAAGGATACAATCCTTCAGTGAGAATGCGAAACACGAACAGGTGAATGACGCAAAACAGTAGGTCAATGCAACTGTCCACCATCATCACAAAACGCCAGTTATAAGTACACATCCCATACTTACACTGTATCTGTAAAATATATGTGTTATTGTACCACGAAGTACAGCTGTTCAGAAAGGAGATTCAACATGACGTAAGGTAAGAAGATACAACATTTGTTGGCTCGCTAGCTCGGTGGCTAAACGTAGCGGCAAGTGCTTTGATCACTGATGCTCGGATGGCTTTAGCGAATAACTGTTAGTATCACGGAACGCTTTTAGATATATTTAGCGTACTGTGTTTATGTCAGATGTATTTTACTCAGTAACGATATCGACTGTGAAAGTGGCACACATATTTGAATGTCCTCTCAGCGTTAGTTGTCACGTATTATTGAGAACAATATGTTCTTATTTAGAGAGCTTCGTTGCCATAATTTGCACTTTTTGTGTAATAATACTGTTTCCGCACGAAATAAGGAACTGATATGAACATTTCCTCTTCTTCTGAGGTGTTCAGAAGTTTGCTTGACTGACAGCAGCAGTATTTACTTGAAGCGCACTCTTGTTACGTCTAGATGCTTGTCTTATTATGCCGCGGTGATGATGAATGACCTGTGTTGTATTAGGTTCGGTAACTGTTTGGTACCGCTTCGTTATTTTGATTCATTGTGAACTGCGCTAGTTCGCAAATTCATTTCAGCTGCCATATGGTAATTGACTCGCCCTGCCATTGATTATTTGTTTATTTAAAGGTCTTAATCGACTGTAAATGAAGAATGCTGTCATGTTAATTTTTTCTGTAAGACACAAAATATGATGTTAGGCAGAATATTATGGACTGACGGCATCAGTCACCATTGACTTTCATTGAATTTTTTTTCCCATACAATGGAAGTGAATGGTGACCAAGGTTGTCGTTCTGCTTAGCATCTGTTTTTGTGTTCCACAGAAGAAAGTAAGTCATACAGGTGAGAGAATGATGACTTGGCTTTCACCTTTGGCGAACTGTCCTTTCATTAACTGATTTTTAGATTACATTTTTAGCTTGTACACTTTAATTATTAGAATAATAATTCTTCATCATGACTACTTAAATCTTATTTAATACAATTAGCTGTAAGCATTTGTTGACTCAAACAGCATTGAATGAGTTCAACAGTTGGGTTCCAGAGATAAAAAATCCCTTTTTTTTTTTCCCATAGGGGAACTGATTTTTAACTCCTAAGCCTTTAAAAACAAACCTGCTGTAAGCTATGAGGCTGTTAAACAATGTTGAAGCCATCAGACTGCATTATTTCAACTTATTTAAGTTGTTTAATGGCAGAATTCCTTGTGAAAAACTATATATTACCCATGATTCTGCAAAACAGCTGAGTTATAGAAGTTCAAAGGGAAATTGATTTTAACGATAACTGATAAACCTTTAAAGACAGACCTATTGTGAGCTCTGAGATTAATTGATTTTATATGCTATTGATGAACCCATCTCTTTACATTAATTCAACTTATTTTTAAAATAATCGTATTTAATAGTGGAATTCATGGTGAAAAACTACATTACCCATGATTCTGTACAGAAAATTCCACCAATCAGAGTGGTGCAGTGAGCAAAATATGCCAAAAGAGATCTTTAGGCCTGCCCACTCCCATGAAGCACCGCAAATAACGTAATTGAGTTAGAGGTCTGCAAGCCCGACGGGGCCCGACACGCTGAGTCTATTCGGGCCGGGCTCGGGCCATTTTTTTTTTTTTTTTAACAGATCGGGCTCGGGTCTTACTCGGGCTCATTTAGCTTCTCTACTTTTATTGTGCCCATATAAGCGCAGAGCACACATAGGCTACTGTATGAAATATTGTTATATTGATTATATTATAAATATTATACATCACCTATGCAATACGCAACGCATATACGCACGCATTAGCAAACAGGTGACAGTTGACCATGCAGAGCGGGTGTGCCTCACACGTCCTGAAAAGTGAAGGGCTCTTTGAAGGGCTCCTTGATCTTTGATCGCCCCCTGGTGGCTGGCTGCAGTACAGGTCTAAACCTGTACTGCATGTTTATGCAGTACAGGTTTATGTACTGCATAAACTCCCATCCCCTCCATGTAAACGAATGGGACTTGAGTCAAAAGAAAAAAATTAATTACACTTCCAATACAATTTTCCGAAAGATGGTTTTGGTCATTTAAGGTAGTTGTTATCACGCTGATATATGTTCAATTGTTAGTTTTTGTGATAAGTTTGATTTTAGCTAGTAATTTGATGCTATAAAAACGGGGCGTGTCGTTATGGTTGATTGGGTCTGTGGGAGTTTGATACCGTTGCTCCACCTCAAGACACTACTGCGCAGACTCTGGCTCCAAACGAATCTCTACTGCGCAGACTCGGGCTCCAAATGACGTCATTTACTCAAGATGGCAGCGGCCATACTGAGGAAGCTGCGGGCTCTTTGATCACCCCCTGGTGGCTGGCTGCAGTACAGGTCATAAACCCCTCCCTCTCCATGTAAACGAATGGGACTTGAGTCAAAAGAAAAAAATTAATTACACTTCCAATACAATTTTCCGAAAGATGGTTTTGGTCATTTAAGGTCGTTGTTATCACGCTGATATATGTTCAATTGTTAGTTTTTGTATAAGTTTGATTTTAGCTAGTAATTTGATGCTATAAAAACGGGGCGTGTCATTATGGTTGATTGGGTCTGCGGGAGTTTGATACCATGGCTCCACCTCACGACATTACTGCGCAGACTCGGGCTCCAAACGAATCTCTACTGCGCAAACTCGGGCTCCAAATGATGTCACTTACTCAAGATGGCAGCGGCCATACTGAGATGCGTTGGCTTCGCTTTTCTATAGTGGAAGGAATAGGAGACGCGTCATCCATATTTTTTTACAGTCTATGATGCAGAGCATCAGGGAGAAGTAGGAGTAGGAGTGGGCCTGAGCGTCTCGGGCCAGGGCCGGGCTCGGGCCTATATTTGAGGCCCATGCAGGGCTCTAAATTGAGTCGGTCTTTCAAAAAAAAATTCTAATAAAAATTTCCAACACTAGGGATGCACCGAGATTAAAATTCTGGATGCACTTAGCTGAAAACCAAAAAGGAAAATGCTTTGTAATAATTATTTATTATTTTATTAAATAATATAAAGTAATTTTGTAAGACTTTAATTTAATTCAATCATTTTAATATTGATACTGAATTTAAAAAAACACAAGCCAATAAAAGAACCACACTTTTATTCAAAGTAACAATAAAATTGGACAGAAAATATATTATTAAATATCAAAATATTATTTTTATTCAGTTCTATGCAACAGAATCAGATATAACTTTTTTTTTTTTTCTGTTTTCCAGTGAGCATGAGTAAAGCGTTCATATGGGCCGTGAGCAACTCAATGGAACGCACATTCATAGAGCAGAATATTGAGCGGAGCGTCACACAGTGACGACGGCTAGAGGGAGAGTGAAATCTGTGCGCTGAACACTGCTGGGCGGTGCGGCATGGCATATATTTTCGTCCGTTTATTATTCGCATCGTGTTATAGCTCTAGATTACTCACAGAATGTTTTTCGTGTCACTTGCGTGAATAAAATCATCGTGTAATACTTTCCTTCATTTTCTGATACAACCAGACGTGTCAAACTGGACATGTCAATAAGCTCTTCGAGTTGACATTTTTCAACTTGCACAGAATTGAGACTCCATCAGTGACAGAAATGGAGAAAAAATCTTTTTAGTGTTTTTAAAATCGTTATTGGGAAAATGAATAAGAAGATGATTTCAGAACCAGCACCGCTGAAGAAGTGGACAGGCACTGTTCTACTCTAAGGTTTGAAAGATTGAATGTGCTTCCAATGTAGTCAACACCTTTGCTAACAAAGATTCCTTCATCTGTTTAAAGTTTTGGATACGTCTTTACATCGGGCACTCCCTTGACATGTGTATAGTGTGGCTGTAAGGTTCGGCTCTGTTTATCTAGTGTGGTTCACACACACCCTCCTTAAGCACAGGGTAGGTCAGGAGATCCTGCAGAGAGCACCAGCTTATGACACCCAGTGCCAGGACTCTGGATTGGCCTCTGAGTGCCTTATGTGTCCAGCTGTGACGGAAAACAAAAGTACCCTAAAATGAGCACTGCCAACCTCAACGAGAAAGCTCCCACTGTCTGTCATCAGCCCCACCTCAATCTTTCCTTCCTCCAGCTTCTAGTCACAACACGCAGTGAGTCATGTAGCACGCTGCCCCCATCCCTCCCTCTCTTCTCCCCATCCCGCTGTCGTCAAAGAGCTGCCACGTGCCTCCTCACCCAACTCATGGCATGAATGTCTCACACACACCAATGTTATTTTAGTATTGTTGAGTTGCAACTAGCTTAGATTAAGTGATTTTTGTTTCAGTTTTTTTTTTTTATATTATGCTGTATATTTTGTTTTTATTTCAGTTAGCCTTTAAGTTTAACTATAATAAGCTGACATATACAAATACACCTGCTACACCAATTTGGTCATATTAAAGGGAATAACTGGCCCAAAAATCACCCTTACCCTTGTGTAGTTCACATGACAGTGTTTCAGTGATTATTCTGCCTAGCTTGACATGATCCAGTCTACTTACCTTAGCAGTTAGCAGTCCAGACTATTTCCTTAGAGTATTGGGATTTGTAACCTTCTGTTAGAGGATATTATAAGATTTCAGTGTTTCTTAGAGTGTCTTTGGGGAACATTGACTCCTCTCACTCACTGATTGCTTATGTGGTGCCTTCGGCTGCTCGCCTCTGTCTTTTTGGTTGCTGTGGTATCTGTTGCCATAGGGATGATGCTAGCGGTGGTGTTCGTAGCGTGATGAAGAGTGTGATTGTTAGTAAGTGTTTGTTTATGATGGAGACTCCCACAGAGAGCCAGCAGTTGATGTATGGCAGTCTGCAGTGTTGTCATGACTGTCCTCTAATGAGGCCCAAACACACTGAAAGGTGTGCTGTGCATGGAATTTTATTCATTTGGGTTTGTAATTGGATGAAGAGAGAAGTACTGTTTTTCAAGGGCTTTGGGTCACTGTGTGTGTGTGTGTATATATATTATTGAGGTCGACTGATAGTGGGTTTTACAGATACCGATAGCTAGGTTAGACCACACTGGCCGATACGATTA